CAGATCCTAATCTCCTGACTTCCCATTAGAAAATTATGCCAGCAATCACTCTTCAGAATGGGGATCCGAATCTCGAGATCTCTTCTGTCGCGTTTAGGAAACGCAACAGTCCACCCCACTGCCACCAGGGTCTGCAACACTCTTATGTGACATCTGCACGACTCGGGATAAAGATTCTGCCCTCATCCCTTGTGGTCACACGATGTGTGCTGTGTGTACTTCAATTACAGTGGCGTAGGCAGGAAATCGGCAAGGGGGGAGGGGGGGGGGGTTGAGGCCAGGTAGACACCCCAACCCTACGCCTAGCTCCACTACCCGGAATATACATTTTCAAAGAAATCCTGGTCTGGCATCTTGGGTCTGTGGACGGACATCAGAATTTCCTCGAATGGGCATAGCTAATAATTGGAATTCCCAAGGAAGGTTCAAATATGCCTGTCAGTGTCACTGACTGGGAAGCTCAAGGGGGTGGGGGAGGGGGGGTTCCAACCCCCTTAACCCTCCCCTTCCCTACGCCACTGTTCAATTATAATTGTGCAAGACAGTAGATGTCCACAGTGTAGACAAGTAATCGGTGATTTTTTCGGAATTTTTTTTAAAAATGGAATCAGACCGTTCTCTCTCTCTCTCTCTCTCAATCAATCAATTACTTGAACTTGTTTCCATAACTAGGCCTATTGCATTGTGCCCCCAATAAATTCTCGATTTTGACTTTTGTGGAGTCGCCTGTGCATTTACAAAAACTTTTCCCTCATTCTGCATATGATAGAATGAAGCATTGCTAGTCACCTAGCCAACACAACATGCACGATATCTACGTGACGCTTTCGCCGCCACCACCTTCACCTATGCTAGTTCGTCGGTGTTATTCTATGTCGGCATAGTTCCTGTCCTGAATATTTATCTTCGATGCAAATCCGGGTAGGTATGCTTCAGGGAGAAGACAAATAGAACACGATTTAATGGATATTCTGGAGGTCAAGAAAATTGCATTGTGCATGAAAAAAAAAAAACAAGTTAGGCAATACAGGTAGAGTGCTGCGAAGCACCAGCATTTCTGTTGTTTCTCTTTAATTTTTTTTTAAGCCACATGGATTAATGTGGTAACATTTTGATGTAAATTGTTTGGTTTGCAGCTGATTTCAGGGAAAATAAAAAAACCCCCAACATTTTCTCATCACCTTGCCATATCTTTCATGGGATTCTCCACTCTGAGTTAAGTTCTAAAGTGTACTTTTTGCACAGTTTCATCAACACTAAACATTTGGAACACGTTTTCATCATAAGCATATAGGCATATCAAAAATATGCCTTCAGGAGGAGAGGGAAAAATAAAGAAGATTCATTTTTACATCTTGACATCTATTTCGGGGAGACATGGAATATACTTGTGTTGCACAATAGAACCAAGCATATAATCAAGCTGTAGGTCTAGGATAATTGGGTACCGGATAATATATTGTTTTCCTTCTGGGGTTACTACATACCAATTTCAAGGAACAGTCGATACATGCGGTTCTCGGGTAGAAGTCACTGGCCAAGTGACCTGCAAGTGAAAAATGTATCAGCACCCCTGAATCACATGTGGAATGCTTGGATCAGCTAAGTGGCTGAGTGGTTCCAGCTCCCAAATCACCGCCTAGGGGGTAAAAACATTAAATAACTTTGAAGATCCAACCCAATGGTACTTGCTTTATTCGTATTAGTAAAAAGTTATTGCTCTACATCAGTTTGAAGATATGCCACTTTTTTTAATTGTGCAGATTTTGACTAATTTTTGAGCCAAAACGGTCAAAATTTCCAGTCAAAATTTCACACACTTTTGGCCATGATGTCACAGGTTCGGCGTGTGCTTTTTACTGTTTCTCTTCGGAGGCTGGCAACTTATTATTATTTGATACCGATCCCTGTGCAATAAGGGTAGGGGAGTCAGTGGTAGCGGGTGATTCGGACCCAGGCGGTCGCGATCTTTCTGTTCCAAGGCCTTAGTGTTTGACAACAAGGAAGGATTCAGAAGTCAGTCACTATTACACCCTGAGCCTTTAATCACTGAGTATTACATTATATCAACAGAGTGGTTAAACAATATTAAGAATCATGGAAACAATGCACGTCTCACGGCCTTGGTTGTAGCGAAGGGAGTCAGGAGCACGAATATGCCCCTCACGAAGGGAAGGCTTGTCTTGGAAGGCACGTTAGTCTTCTGGAGGTACGCCCTGTCTGGGATCCTCCGACACAACTGTCCTTGTCGCTGTCTGCGTGGAATCCCGACACAACTGTCTTTGTCGCTGTCTGCGTGGAATCCCGACGCAACTGGTCCTTGTGGCTGTCTGGCGTGGAATCCCCCCTTCAGTGCGGCTTCGGAGCCTTTTTAAAGTTGGTCCATGCCCTCGGGCATATTTCAAGCCCATCACAATGAGGTGTGCAACATAAAAAATGCTCGGCAATATTGGAGAGGGTCAGTGCCTGGCCTCTGGCTGATGTGGGATGGAATTATATGAGGTCCTTAGTAGGAAGTACAGTCATCATCTTTATATGACGAATTTGTAACAGTATAAGGAAGAAACTGAGAAGAGAGCAAAGATAAAAAATATTCCTTGACAAATGTAGACTGGATGCGTGCGAGTCCCCTCTACGAACGTGAGGCTGAATCTTCCCTGTATTTCTCCTTCCATACTTTTGTGGGCGTTCATGACGTGTAGATCCTGTTACAGTCTGACTCCAATTACCGGCAGGATCCGGTATGAAATACGAGATGGTTCAACCACAGGAACAAGAGTATATTAACAAGGCAAAGACCACTGATCAGAGAGATAGAAGGGCTCACCCGGGTGAAAGAGAAAAAGACATCCACACATATCAATATATTGTTGCGTTTCTTTAAGTTAAATCGGGAAATCTCCCGTAGACGGCTGATTGCCGTACTTATATTTTTATAAAAAAAAAAGAATTGTCAGGTGGATAATGGAACACGATTGCAGTCAGGTGGAATATGGGCCAGGTTTATTACAGACTACGGAATGACTACAGGTTTTGAGTGAACTTCAGGGGCTGTCCGAGAGGTATAGATCTTCTGAGAGGGATGAAAAATCCAAACGGCGTCTTGTTGTTCTCCAATGCTTCCGCACCTCCGGGTCTCGGGGGAACCCGGAATCCTGTCCTCGTCCAGGTGCTGCAACGAAATCTCTGGTGTAATCGAGCTCTACTCAAATGGGTGCCAGCCTCAAGTGAGGAGTCGATTATCCGTGGAAATTCTGACGTCTGCAGACACCTAGGTCCAGAGGCCTTCCTATCCGTAAGGGAAAGGGATCACAGGCGCTACAAACCGGTAGCCCTTCCGCTCGAGGTTTAGATCAGCGATCAAACCGAGCCGACCAGTCGATTAACGACTTCTTCTGCCGTCTGGATACACCAAGGTCCAGAGGCCTTCCTATCCGTAAGGGAAAGGGATCACAGGTGCTACAAACCGGTAGCCCTTCCGCTCAAGGTTTGGATCAAACCGAGCCGACCAATCAATTAACAACTGGAGACAACAAGGTCCTGATGGAGTCGTTTGGAGTCGTGGATCTTGTACCGTCGTAGTACGTCCTGGCTCGAGGTTTGAGTGGAGGTCAAACCGAGCAGGTGGTACGTACGCTGATGTTGACAGAGCTCGAGGTTCGTGACCCGCGGACAGATTGGCGGCCGTTTACTCACAAATGGAGCAGCGCCTTCTGAGCCGTTCCACCTCCTTTAGGGGTGGATCCACGAATGGAATCGGGTCAACCGAGCTCTGGAGGAGTCGTCCAGCCGCAGACTCTTGGCAGGCTCAAAAGCTTAGAGAGAGCTCCTAGCTCGAGCTGCTGAGTCGTGCAAGCGAATGACTGCCTCTCTCGGACTGAAGACGGGGGTTTTTATACCGGGAAGGAGATCATAAAGTTGGGTCATTTGTGACCGTTGCAAAGAATTTGTCAACAAGAAAAGCGAGGGAGGGGGTAAGACATGCGGAGCACACGTGCGGATCACTTGATTGTTCCTTACATCGGACATTGGCCTCCATATATCCCTATATACAGTACCAGGAATCTGCCTGGTACTTTAAATTAAAACGTTCCCCTTTTAAGAAGAGTAAGGAAGGCGATCTTACTGCCGTTTTTGCTACAATATGCACGGAACCACTGAATAGAACTGAAAGAGTCCTGAGTCTCGGGCCGTCAAAGATGTTCCCCCCCCCCCCCCTTTCAGGGTAGGGGGAAGTCTCATAGAGGTGGGAGGTGCAAGGGAGGAGGTGAGGGTAGATGTGTGTGTGAATCCATTGTGTGTGAAATGTGCCTTTTTTAAAAATTATTATTCACTTCTCACATGGGCCCCGATACCTTTTCACATCCCATTTTACTAAATCGTGTCCACAAGTGTACTGGTACCCATCGCCCCATGTCCATCCGCTTTCCTTTTGATCTTGAAAGGCATATCCTGATGCGCCTGGTTGCAAGCTTAAGATAGAAAATTCTTGAGTAGGATCGACCCAAACTGGATGACCTGGATCGACCCAAAATGTCCACGCGACTCTTAAGCCTAACGTCAGTATGGATCGTAAAGAGTTTTTGGGGTGTGGGTAAGGGGATGAAGCCATTGAAAACTGATTTTCACGCTACTTCATAATTGATTTGATGCAGACGTCCTTTATAATTCGGACGAGACATTTACTATTCATAGACGGAGGGCAGACGTTAGCTGAATCATAAAGTCTTCCCAAGAGTGGGGTGTGAAAAATAAATGAAAAGGAAAAAAAGCATGCAAATAATGAAGTGATTCAGTAACATTAACATGATAGGGACCACAATGTAGAATATACTTCATACTCTAGTAGCAATAATGCAAATGCACATGAATTGAGGAGCAGAGCATTGAGGAAAAAGAAGATGGGGAAATCAAGTCATGCTATTGAATGAGAAAAAAAAAGTTAAAAAAATAAATTATGATGGAATTGGTAGCTCAATCGGTAGGATATAGGTCCAGTCTCAAGGTGATGTGTTCTGTTGTGACTTCAATCTAATTTTATTGTTAATCCAGTCTACGAAGTGCGAGACTTTAGTGTAGACGCCAGGAAAGTCTGGATTACCGCATTCCACTCCAAAGGACACCACACCGGCAAGGAAGCCATCACAGTAAAGTGGCCCACCCGAGTCATCCTGGCACGCGTCCTTACCATCCTCTCCTGCGCACATCATGGACGTCGCGTCAAAGTATTTGTGAGCCTGAGCGCATCTCAGATCGGAAACCAAGGGAATTTCCACTTTGAGAAGGTCCGGGGAAGGTGTCCCTTTGTACGACGTATCGCCCCAACCTGCGACAGTGCACGAGCCAGTGAATTTCTTGCTTTTCGTAGGCAGTTTGGCCATGGCAACGCGGGCGTCGCTGAAGTCGAACGCCTTGTCAACTTCGAGCAGGGCAATGTCGTTCTTGAAGGTTTCCTTGTCGTACTGCTCATGCCAGAAGAAATTGGTGACACGGTGCACCTGTTCGCGCTCTGCGTCGTGACTCAGATCCCCGGCCACGACACGTAGTGTCTGCTTCTTCTGGTCGTACAAGCAGTGCGCCGCCGTGAGGACCCAGGAATCGTGGATGATGGTGGCGCCGCAGATGTGTTCATACTGTCCGTTCTCGAGCAGCTGGACAGAGACGACGGAGGGAAACTCTTTCTCCACCGCTGGCGTCCCTCCCAGGATTCGTTGGACCCGATTCCGTTGCTTGACCTGGTGGTCGCATTTAAAGATTTTAGTTTCATCCTTCTAAGCACGTAAAAAATGACCGGAGTCGGTGGATTCACAACGGTGTATCAAGACAAGGTGGGAGGAAAGAGAGAGACAGAGGGAAAGGACGTTGTTGATTTGGGAGCGCGTAATGAGGTCATATGGCTAGGGTGAAAAGTACAAAAAATATATTTAAAAATTCAGTGGATGTCAAAAAGAAATGACATAAAAATCCTTTATTTCCTTCGAAAAATCTAACCCAATCTGCACAGGAACGTTGAGTAAACGTCGATATTTGGTGGATACGTGGGCGCGTGAGTGCGCCAGGACCCTTCGGCCGGACGACACGTGGCGTGTCGAGTCACGCAGCCTGACCCTCACCGCCGGTCAACTCAGTGAACCGCAGTGTGAGCCCCGAACTGCGTGCCGGCACTAATTTACCATCTATAAGAACACGCAACCTTCCTGATTACCAACCGACCACATTGGGTCTGATCTCCATATGTAGCGAGGCATTCGTGCCCCATATCTTGTGACCCCCTGGGGTTCGCTACAGCTGTTCCTATATTATACTATATTTTTTGTGTGCGGAAATAGCCTCTTAGAGGGCAAGCCAATACGTTCTGTTGAAGAAAATTATTTTTTAAGGTGATACAGACTACTCCCAAAGCCTTTATAGGGATTTTTATATTGCTGCATGAAGCAGGTGTGCTTTCTGTGACCATCAATGTGTATTAATACCTCCCAAAATAAGGAACTTTGACTTTCTCCAGGAACTTCATAAGTGCCCTGTTAGGTGCAGATTGAGTGCTACCTACTGATTGATTGCATTTCATAGGCACACACCTCAGATCATGTTCATGCCAATGAGATGCTTTTCCCTTCCCCTACCATTCACCTTTCTTTTCCAAGGATACCTTCAAATCTACAAGCTCCCATTCATGTATGTACTTGCATAGGCTGTCTGTAATTTACAGCACTGTCTGCATCAGAGCTTAAATGGTTTACACAATCTTCTTAAATACCTGGTCTGGTCTGTCTGATGGTCAAAATGTGACATAAACAATTTTTTTTTAAGTTAAAAAAACAACTGACCCACTGCAAAACCCACAATATCCTCATGTCAAAGTTAGAGATAAAGGAAAGGGGATTGGGAATATCCTTGAAAAGGCAGCTGAAGGAAAGAGTTGGTCTTTAAATCTGGAAAATATGTCATTAGCATCAAACCTGTTTGTACTCTCTTCAGGATGTTTAGGCCTAAACTCTTCAGATGTGGAGTCCCTACCCTGCTGGATCTAATGATGAAAAAGAGACCTCGATTGACAAGTCCATACCATCTCATAATAGTCAAATTACTTTGACCAGTTCACTCTGCCAGTGGGCTGTGAAAAGTTGGGTGCCAGATACCTCATTCACTTCTTTGCTGTCAATCCTGCAGTGTCATGGTCATCCTGAGTTGCCTTATGATGAAAGAACATTTCTCCAGATGTTGCAAAATGTGGATGTTTAGAAATTGAGGGATGGAGAGTTTATGTACCTAGGAATAGAGCAGGGTGTACACTATTTCTTGCAGTCCCTGTCTGGAAAGATTCTGCCTAGCCAGTTGAACTTACAGATCAATGTGGATGGTTTGCCAGTATTTAAAAGCTCTTCCTTGCAATTCTGGCCTATTTTGGGGCTATTCACAGAATTTAGAGGAAGGTCCTTTCTGATGGGTCTCTATGCAGGCAGGGGGAAGCCAGAGTTGATGAGTATTTGGGAGATTTTGTTGATAAGGCCATCAGGTTACAAAATGAGGGAACCATGTACAAACAGCAAAAAGTCTTCCTTTATATGTGATGCTCCTGCTAGGGCTTATATCAAGTGTGTGAAGTCATTTTCTGGATACTTTGGCTGTGAAAGATGCACTCAAGAAGGACTGTATGTTGAGAGGATGACATTTCCAAATGCTACCTCAGAACTCAGAGCAAATGAATTCTTTCTGAAACAGCAACAGGAAGAGCATCACACAGGTTTGTCACCACTGGTCAAGCTTGAATGTGAATAACTCAATTTCCTACTGATCCTATGCATTTGTTGTACCTTGGTGTCATGAAAAGATTCATGCATCAGTGGCTGTCAGAGGGCAAGAAGAGTGTTAGATTGTCTGGCCAGTCAGTCAAGTATTTTTTAATTTTATTGCAGCAGGCAGCACCCCTCATCCCCTGAGTTTCAGAGGAAAACCTGAACTGGTGCAGAAATCGATCACTGGAAAGCAACAGAATTCAGGCTTTTCCTTTTGTATGTTGGGCCAGTTATTCTGAAGCAAGTATTCAAGAAACAGAAGGGTAGACATCACTAGGGCTCATACTTACATTTTCTTCTTCTTCATTTTGCTGTCTATATGGTGACAACCCCACATCACTTGCCTGTATGTATCTCTAAAGCTTGGGCTGCCCTGACTGAATTCCTGAGACAGATTCCCCAACTCTATGGGCAGGAGTTACTGACATACAGTGTTCATTGCCTGATTCATCTCCCTGATGATATTGAGAAATTTGCAGCTTTGGACTCATTCAGTAGTTTTCCATTTGAATCCTATCTTCATTCTATCAAGAAGTCCCTTCATTCACAAAATGCACCATTACAGCAAGCAGTGAAATGTGCAGTTGAAGTCATGCAATGCCTTGGTCAGAGTTCTGAGAAGCCTACAACTTCTCATGCCTATGAAAAAAAAACCTCTCATGGTGAACTGTCCTTGAATTTGAAGGTTGTATCCATAGGGAAATGACTATTCGTTGCTCTTCTAATGCTGACAGCAGTGTGCTACTCAAGGATGCATCACTGGGAAAGTGAGTGTATCTCAGATAATGAGAGCATGAGCATTCAGAGATCTTTTAATGCTCATGAAGAAGAAACTACCAATACAAGTGTCATGCAGCTTGTAGGATCAAGAAGTGGACATGAAGAACTAATGGGACCTGAACCCATGGATGTATATTCATATTCCAAATACTACATCATTGCATTAACCCTTTAAATATTATCTGATGGCATTTACCCTTGTTTTATTCTTCAAGAGAATCTTCCCATCCCTTCAAAAAGTCTACCTTCAGATAATCCTTCTGAGGGCATCTTGACAAGCTCTGATGGTCAGAGTCAACTGGGGACAAATTTGATCAACAGTTCATCAACGCCTGACAAGGATTTCACTTGATGAGACAGGTATTTAAATTTATTGTTATGGGGTAATGAGGAGTCATCAAAATGGGATTTATGTATTTTCTGGTATTTCCTGGTCCAGGTACTAGACAGGTGATTGCCCTGCTGGGGTCCATCAAACACAATATCCTTCAGCAGGGCAGAAGATTGGATAATATGGAGATCATGATTCAAGGGCTTATGGATGGATACAGTAATCTTCCAAGACCTCAAGAACCTCAGTTGATAGTGAATACTTTGAATATGGCTCTCCCCTTGAGGATTTTCATCTGATTGACAAAAGACTTAACTCTCAAGATGTTAGGGAATCAATGGTAGGTCCAACTTTCATGGAGAATATTCTTTATGTTGGGCCTATTTCAAGTTTTTAGTTATGGAGAGGATTTTCAGGTCTTCCTCCCCCTTGTAACAGAATGCTGCAGCACTTGACTCAATCCTCCTATATTACATGGCCTATGTTCTCAGCAAATTGAAAAAAGGATGCTTTTCAGATCTCTCCATCATTGTGCCCACCTTTATGTCAGGAAGTCTGTTCCCACTGAGAACCCAACTGACCTAGTGGTCAAAATGTCCATAAATTATATGTTGCCAATAATTATGGTTAATGTGCTTACTGCTACAATGAAGGTACAATAAGCTTCTTGGACTGAAAATTTTTTTTAAGACGAGCAGTCAGGTTATATGTATAACCTGACTGCTCCATACTTTTTCCTGAAAGGAAAATATCCTCTCTTCAGTTGACAATATTTAGCTGCCCTGTCACCCTTCAAGAGCAGCATGCAAAATATAATTGCTCTCTGGTTGAATGTGCGACTAGGGCATTGGAAACTTAGGAGCTGCAATACTGATGAACATAGGCCTTTTGGTTGAAGGAAATAATTTTACTTTTCTTATTCCTGCTCTCTGGACTCCTGTTTGCTCAGGTTAAAACCTTGGCGTTGATAGGAGGACACAACCTGACGGATTGTACTTATAGCATCCCGAGAGCCCTCCTATCAAACGAATTGGCTTCCCAGATGAGTATACATGGGCGAAAGTTGAACAAAGTTCCCTTCATTAAGACTAACTTTTTTGAGTTGGTTTTTGGTGAGGAAACATTCAAATTTAGTTCCCCTGTGTATTGAATTTATGTTATCAAAAACAAAAACATCAATATCAATAAAGTTTTTCATACTTCTTCAGATGCAGTTCGATGTAATCCCTGCCTTACCAACCCAACCCAGGATTATGAAGAGAAGTTCGGGAAGTGGCTGAAGAATACCCAAAAGCGTTTGAAACTAAGGTGAGAGGATCCACCTCTTGTCCAGAATTCAGTCAAACATTCCGTTTTTCATAAGATTTCTGTCTCTCATAACACCTAATTAACATCAGATGGAGAGAGTGGAAAATTACAGTTCATCAGTTGTGGAGATCTGATTTAGTGACTGTTCCTTTGATTTTGAAGATATGGAACCCTTTTTTTTTGCTGCAAATAGAGCATGTGACACCTTCAATGTTTTTTCCCATTATTTTTCATGAATGGTTTCAACAAAACATGATGAACAAAGGTTGACGGAACGTCTCCGGGAAACCACTAGGCAACATTCCTTAATAAACGTGTTGTCAACGTGGAAATTTTTCCTACAACAATGTGGATTACACGTTTACAAGGGACGTTTATTCCACGAAGCAAGGTCGAAAATTGAACTTTCCCTCAACGTTCTCTCAACGTCTTGTGCAGACTGGGTAACCCGACCAGACCAAAGTTAAAGTTTAGTACTTGCACATTGTGTCAGGTTAATTGAGTCAAGTTAATTGGTCAGCTGGTGTTATTGGGGTATTGAAAATGGAGTTAGTTCGTTCTGATGTTATTAGTACTTGAGGATTTGACGTTAAGTCATATTCCCCCCTCTTGGATCCTTTAAACTTTGATACACCTGCTTTGCTAAATATAATTTAAAAGTTTTCAACCGGACCTGTGAATGCGACGTCAGTTTCACTGTCTCCTGGTAGAAACTCCAGTCGTCGAGGTCCTCGTACTGCCTTCCAAAGGTGTCTTGATACCTTCGAAATTCCTTCATTACATTAAGATCATCAAGAGTCAAGGCAATAACTCTCTAAAATGAATATAGACGAAAACTTACCCCTCTTGCTGTCCAAATGTCCCGCATATCGCGTAGCATTTGGCGGCGTCGCGGTCGAAGCAGGTACAAGAGGTAGAGGGTGTGACATGTACAGTCAAATAGGACCCTGTCAGATCATCATCTAACAAACCCAGCATCTCAGTACCGCAGCCCAAGACGTATTTCTCCGGAGAGCTGCACCTTGCCTTGATCTCGTGATCGATGCCCAAAATTTTATAGAAAAGTTTCTTGATGATATTGAAGGGCTTTTCAATGACCTCATAGCTGCCGACGTTGGACGCGCAGGACGCCACGCAAGTGGACAGATCAGACGCGTGGCACAAGCAGGAAGTCCCGTTTTCGTTGGGGTAGAAGGATAGGAGCTTGTGATAGGGGACTCTTTGGAACGGGATGACGTGGCAGCCGATGACCTTCTTGCCATAAGGACACGTGGCCGAGGTCACGTTCGTGGAACCGATCGTGACCTTCACAGTCTCGAAGCCTTGCACTGCGTTCGAGCACCAGGCGAAACACATGGCCCCAAAGTAGTCGTAACATTGGCAGGTTGTGCTATTCACAGGGTAAGCATGCCTGAATTTTTCGAAATTGGTGTTGAAGTGAGACGTGCTGTCGACACCATCCATATTTCCCATTCCACACGACATCAAGGACATGCCTGCTCTGCAAGACACGTTCTGGAAGCCTCTGATCGGTCTTACCACAAGGTCAGTCGTGACTGACGCCTTGGAGGAGCGGGACGTCCAACCGTCTCTCTCAATCTGTTCCTGAACCCATCTCCCTCGCAGCCAACTCCGTTCGGTCGAAGAATTGAACTGTCCGCAGATAGCGTAGCAAGTGGCGCCCTTTTCGTCGTAGCACTTGCAAGAGTTGATCGAGTCGACCCAGGCCGTGCGATACCAGGCATTGTTGCCATCAGCAGGATTCACGCCGCAGCCCATGACAAAGTTGGACTCTGAGCACGTCACGGTGATGAAGCCAACCCCATAATTCTTCCTGATTTCGTGGCGGTCCGCTCGCACCTGGCGTGAGCAAGAGGCCACACAGGACGTCTCCGCATCGTAGTAGTACGAGCAAACACACCCGGATTGATCGTCTTTTGGGTAGTAGCCTGTGTAATACTCATTCCGGTTTTCGTACAAGCGGCTTGAGTTGATATGACAGCCGATTACCCTAGACCCCAAGGGACAAATTGCAGTCGTTTTGACCCGATCGTCTTGTGATCTCGCTTTGATACGACTCGAGAGTGTAACCTCGAGCTCGATGGTGGATTTGGTGCACCAGGGTATGCACTGAGCTGCCAACTTAGAAAAGCATACGCAGGTGTCTTTTTGCCGCTCACTGGGGTGGGCAAATCTGTAGGATTGCGCTTCCGACGCGTTGTACCTCATGCTGCAGGATAATAAGGAATGCTCTGGGGGGCAAGAGATCGTCTGTAAACCTTTCACGGTAGATTCTGATGACTTCATCTGAGTGAGGGTCCGGTCAGGTGTTGGAAGCATGCTACCATCACCTGTATACTTTTTGACAGCCTGCTCCAAGTTGATCCGTATCGCCTTCAAGTCGATTTCCTTCATGTCCTGAATATATCTGCTATCCAGCAGTTCTGTCAGAGGGCGCAGTGTATACTCAATGGGATAGGGCGACGTAATCAATTGGCCATCGGCAGTGGCCTCGCAACCGAGGTGCATCCTCTTGAACGATTTGCGCCTGCTTTCGTACTCTTTAGTCAGTGTCTCATTGACGTGAATCCCAATAATCCCACAACTCGTCCTGCTTCCCCCGAAGGACCCTGCTGCAGCCAGATTCAAATCCCAGCCCTTTTCGTGCATTTCAGACATCTTCACCTCGTCGAACTCGCTCCGGATAACGGCCTTTGCACCCATTCGGACCTTGCTGCTGTAGTGCGTGCCGTAGAAGGAGATGAATCTCAGGTAGTCGTCCTCGTCGTAGTCCAATGGTAAGCGTGTGACTTCATCGACGAAGCCAGAATGTAGTCTCGCTCCTGTCTGCACAGCTGCTTCAAACTGCAGCTGCTTGGCCACAGACTCTATGAAGATTCTGTGGTCTTTCAAGGTCTTGTTGTTAAGATTCTTATAGTCGAAGCTACCACTGAACATGGCAATCCCAGAGATTGGCAATCCCTCCAACTTGACGTCCACGGACAAACTTTGCAGGTAGCTTTCCATCCCTGTGATTTCAGTCGACTGCACCGCAAAACTACAGGAGTCATATTGCAGAGACTCCACGTAGTCTGGCAGTAACCTTTTGCCGTCAGCCGTCCAAGTGTTACTGTCGTAGGATAGGTTGATCACGGGTCGAACCTTGAATCCTGGGTCGCTGAGATCCCCGTGAGGATTGCCGTACAGAATGTCATAACTCTGACCCAGAAAGTCTATGTTGCCAAGTTTCTGTGGAGGTCCGCTCGGGTCCGCGCAGCTGTTGAACCTGACGAGAGCAGCCAGCAGGCAGCCGATGTGAAGGAGTGCCACCCTGAGCGTCATGACCAGTGAACTTGATCTGGCCAAACAATAAAAATATGCCGGAAAGTGCAGGATAATATTTTACAAGTTTCATTCACTAGTCTAAGAAGACCTGTCTTAACTGAAGTTTTTCCTGATGGTTCTCAGGGATAGTCATACTTATTACTGAACAGGGAGATCTCCTTGCCACTGAAGGAATGGTAGACCGTTCCGCTTTTTGATGTTTTTTTTTTAAATAAAAATAGGAGCTAAATGTATGGTGTGCCCCGCATGTGGTGGACCAACACATGACTCCCGCCCACCATGGTGAGATCCTCCCAACACCAGGGCTGGCAGAGTACAAGACCCTGGTAGAGCTGATGTAGCCATGGGAAGGTGTCCCATGGCTAAGGTGCGTCTTCGCGCCTGGATCCCTTCCGTTTTCAGGTTTTAGCTTTTACATTTTAGGTAAATCCAAAGACAAAGCGGCCTTTTACTGAAAATCACCTCATACTTTAATAGGTTAGTGAGTCGGGGCTGGTTAACTTTAGTTCCACTTATTCACGAGGTTAGGAGATTTGTTCCTCCTTGCAATTACGTGAATTAATTTTAGTGCAGGAGTGCCCTAGGAGGTGGCCTGCAGACCATCGCTTTGGGCACCCTTGATCTAGTGTATTTACGGTTTCTAATTGAACATTAACATTTACATCCTATCGGAATTGAGTTAGGGGATAGAAGCCCCATTGGAAGGAAAGATGTTTCAAGGTGCCGGCTGGCCGGAAGGGCCTTATCAGGCGCCCTGGTGACAAGCGATAGGGCTGATAAGGTTATGATAGGTCTGTGCAGAGCGATTCCTAAGGTTCATGCAAAGGGGAAGTGAAATGTGATATGTGATTAGGCCGCATGATAAGGAACGTTTGTCATGATCAGGGGCCGTTCCAGACGCCATATTAGAATGCGTAAATCACTGAACCTTCGGATAGCTTAGGGTTACAAAAGGCTTCTATATAATCTTACTCTGCGATCGATGCTTAGATTTCAATTCCTTGAATTTCTAAAATATAAGAACACCCGGGGCTCGCTAGAGACATCTAGCGGCTGACGCGGCACGCATGAATGAAGAACCATTCAGGGGGTCAATCATCCCTAGCGGGACCGCATGCTCTTTTCTTCTCTGTTATCTTACCGCGACGATATAATCTGTTCCTGAATATTGATTACGATTTGAGTTTCCTCATTCTTCCAGGAAACATCGATTTTGCAGAGTACTAATTATTCATGAGAAGTATCTTATAATTTTCTCCATTGGCGTAAGGTAGATATATATTATAATCTAGTGTATCCTGTCTACAGTATTTTCCACTCGAGTCGGTCGTCATTGATCTGAATCACGACACTTCGTGTCGAAGTCAGATGAAAAGCATTGTGCGTTGCATCAACGGCTCGCGCATGGTCACATGACTGTAGGTCGCAGCCGCCAGGGGAACCCTTCATATGGAGACACCCCACGGGTGGCCTATGGATGGGGCATAGATGTGCGGGCAACCGACTATTGCCCGACCTTCCGCCAACTCCCCCTTCTATGGCCCAACCTTAAGCCAATTATAATTTTTGACTGGGCTCCAACTTTATTACTGGATGGGGTACTCTGGATGCACAATCGAGTAACAGTTCTAATTCATGTTTTGAAAATAATAAATACAATTGCCAGTCCAACAAATGCATTAATATTTTTTTTTAAGAGGCAAGGGGAAGTANGGCCAAACAATAAAAATATGCCGGAAAGTGCAGGATAATATTTTACAAGTTTCATTCACTAGTCTAAGAAGACCTGTCTTAACTGAAGTTTTTCCTGATGGTTCTCAGGGATAGAGTCATACTTATTACTGAACGGTGAGATCTCCTTGCCACTGAAGGAATGGTAGACCGTTCCGCTTTTTGATGTTTTTTTTTTAAATAAAAATAGGAGCTAAATGCATAGTGTGCCCCGCATGTGGTGGACCAACACATGACTCCCGCCCACCGTGGTGAGATCTTCCCAACACCAGGGCTGGCAAAGTACAAGACCCTGGTGGAGCTGATGTAGCCATGGGAAGGTGTCCCATGGCTAAGGTGCGTCTTCGCGCCTGGATCCCTTCCGTTTTCAGGTTTTAGCTTTTACATTTTAGGTAAATCCAAAGACAAAGCGGCCTTTTACTGAAAATCACCTCATACTTTAATAGGTTAGTGAGTCGGGGCTGGTTAACTTTAGTTCCACTTATTCACGAGGTTAGGAGATTTGTTCCTCCTTGCAATTACGTGAATTAATTTTAGTGCAGGAGTGCCCTAGGAGGTGGCCTGCAGACCATCGCTTTGGGCACCCTTGATCTAGTGTATTTACGGTTTCTAATTGAACATTAACATTTACATCCTATCGGAATTGAGTTAGGGGATAGAAGCCCCATTGGAAGGAAAGATGTTTCCAGGTGCCGGCTGGCCGGAAGGGCCTTATCAGGCGCCCTGGTGACAAGCGATAGGGCTGATAGGGTTATGATAGGTCTGTGCAGAGCGATTCCTAAGGTTCATGCAAAGGGGAAGTGAAATGTGATATGTGATTAGGCCGCATGATAAGGAGCGTTTGTCATGATCAGGGGCCGTTCCAGACGCCATATTAGAATACGTAAATCACTGAACCTTCTGATAGCTTAGGGTTACAAAAGGCTTCTATATAATCTTACTCTGCGATCGATGCTTAGATTTCAATTCCTTGAATTTCTAAAATATAAGAACACCCGGGGCTCGCTAGAGACATCTAGCGGCTGACGCAGATAGCTTAGGGTTACAAAAGGCTTCTATATAATCTTACTCTGCGATCGATGCTTAGATTTCAATTCCTTGAATTTCTAAAATATAAGAACACCCGGGGCTCGCTAGAGACATCTAGCGGCTGACGCGGCACGCATGAATGAAGAACCATTCAGGGGGTCAATCATCCCTAGCGGGACCGCATGCTCTTTTCTTCTCTGTTATCTTACCGCGACGATATAATCTGTTCCTGAATATTGATTACGATTTGAGTTTCCTCATTCTTCCAGGAAACATCGATTTTGCAGAGTACTAATTATTCATGAGAAGTATCTTATAATTTTCTCCATTGGCGTAAGGTAGATATATATTATAATCTAGTGTATCCTGTCTACAGTATTTTCCACTCGAGTCGGTCGTCATTGATCTGAATCACGACACTTCGTGTCGAAGTCAGATGAAAAGCATTGTGCGTTGCATCAACGGCTCGTGCATGGTCACATGACTGTAGGTCGCAGCCGCCAGGGGAACCCTTCATATGGAGACACCCCACGGGTGGCCTATGGATGGGGCATAGATGTGCGGGCTACCGACTATTGCCCGACCTTCCGCCAACTCCCCCTTCTATGGCCCAACCTTAAGCCAATTATAATTTTTGACTGGGCTCCAACTTTATTACTGGATGGGGTACTCTGGATGCGCAATCGAGTAACAGTTCTAATTCATGTTTTGAAAATAATAAATACAATTGCCAGTCCAACAAATGCATTAATATTTTTTTTTAAGAGGCAAGGGGAAGTACTTATTGGGCTTCCCAATTTTGCGACCCAGAAATCTGGTCACCTTAATCATTCTTACCACACATTCCTTACCACAAACTGGAGGCGCACGGGATCCAGGGCAGGACGAGCGAGTGGATCAGTAGCTGGTTGGCAGGCAGGTTGGCAGCAACGGGTGATAAATGGGGAAGCGTCGAAGGAGGTCGGAGTCGCAAGCGGTGTCCCTCAAGGCTCGGTCCTTGGACCGCTTCTGTTTTTGGTTTACATAAACGATTTGGATCTCGGCGTAGAGGGTAAGATAAGTAAATATGCCAACGTCACAAAGATACGTTTTACCATAAGGGGGGAGGCGGATAGGGCTCGTGCCGAGCGAGATTTAAGTCTTTTGGACGAGTGGAGCAAGAAATGGCTCATGAGGTTTAATAAAAGTAAGTGTAAAGTTCTCCACGTCGGTCGAAACAACGGTAGGTCTCTCGACACGTTCGGCGATGTTAAATTGGATGAGGCAAACGGAGAGAGAGATTTAGGTGTTTCTATCGATGAGGACCTCAAGTTTTCCTCGCACGCGCAAGCGACGGTGGCCAAATGCAATAGGATTCTAGGTTACATTCGTCGGTCGGTTGCAAGTAGGACATCTCGCGTTATTCTTCCGTTGTATGCGGCGCTGATAAGACCCCAGCTGGAATATTGCATCCAGTTTTGGAGGCCTACAAATAAGGGCGATTTGTTGGCGCTCGAGGGAGTACAGAGGAGGGCCACAAGAATGATTAAGGAGGTTAGGGGACTATCATACGAGAAGCGTTTAGAAGTGTTGAGACTGTACTCGCTCGAACGAAGGTTAAGGAGGGGCGATCTCATCCAGGCTTTCAAGATAATTAAAGGAATAGATAATGTCGAGTGTGGTAGGTTTTTCCAGTTTGATGACAGCAAGAGAACGAGAGGTAACCGACTTAAGTTGCGCAAACCGCAGGTGCGGTTCAGGTCGAGACAGGAATTTTTTACTTGCAGAGTGGTGAACGCGTGGAATGCGTTAGATGACGAAGAAGTGGCTGCCCCGCGCTGTGACTATCTTTAAGAAGAAACTAGATGCTTTCATGGACAGGCAAAAAGGTGGGGGGCAATGCTGACGTTAGGTACTAGACAGTAAGCAACTAGGATAGTCAAATAACAAAAAACAAAAAAAAAACAAAAATACAAAAATATTTAGCTTTAAGAGGGATAGGCCTACCCTAAAATTAAGGAACGCTCGACCTCGACACGTGATATCGAAACGGGCGAAATCGCCTCTTGATATCACTAACTACCTTGAACCTTGAACATTCCACAATAACACTGATGATATATAGAATCGCACGAGAGCGTCACTGGGCTACATTGAACTAGTGATGGCTAGTGGAACTGATGGAAATTCCATTCTGTTGGCCCTGGTAACCTTATCAATGTCTAACAGAACCAGCGACACTGATAAGTTCAAGATAT